GTTCCTTTCTTCAGATATTATCTCAGGAGCTGTATACCTCAGCCGTTATTTATATCATTGTGTTTACTGGATATAATATGTCCTCTTTCTCTGGTGGTTATCAAGGCTTTTTTTTTCTTCTGTATTAACTTCAGCAGTTTGATTACAGTGTGTCTAGGTAGTTTGTTACCACCAAAGGCACATGGTTCGAACCCATCAGCTGCTCTGCAGGAGATAGACTGTCTCTTCCTGTGTGATTAAACTGCCTCTGAAAACCTGCTGGAGGGTCAGCTGTGGGTGGGTTCCAACTCAACGGCACATAACAACAAGTGGTTTGTTAACTTACTTGAAACTGTAAATTTATGGTTTTCCACAAATTTGGTAACTAGAGTTTTCTGTCCCATTCTCTCTTAGAACTCAGATTACATCTATTATTCCTTTTGATATTTTCCCACAGATCTCTAAGTTCCTTTTCCATCATTTTCTTTTTTTGTTTGTTTTGTTTCTGTTGTCATGTTGAGTCATTTATGTAGACCTATCCATGGACTGCCAAAAGAACAAATAGATAAGTCTTGGAGAAGATGCAGCCAGAGAACTCCTTGGAGGCAAAGATGATAAAGCTTCATCTCATATACTTTGGGTGTGTTGCTAAGAGAAGCCATGCCTTGGAGACATCATACTTTGAAAGATGGAGGGACAGTAAAAGAGAGGAAAACTCTCAACCAGGTAGATTGACACAGTGACTGTAGCAGTGAGGTCAGATGTGTCATGTTGTGAGGATGGCACAGGATACGACAGGTTTCAGATCTGTTGTTCATAGAGTTGATAGAAGTCATACTCGACTCAACAGCACCTGACAACAACAGTGTAGGCTTGAGAGTGACAGGAATCATGAGGCTGGCACAGGAGGGGCAAGATTCAAACCTGTTGTCCACAGGGTTGCTATGAGTTGTGGTCGACTCCACAGCACCTAACAAATCTTCCAGTTTGCTGCTGATTCTTCTTCCATCTCTTATCATCTCTTAATTCCATTCAGTGAGATTTTTATTGTTTTACTTTTTAGTTTTACAGTTTGCTTCTATAGTTTCTGCATCTCTGTTGAGAGACTATGCTAGGTTAGTCATTGTGAGCATACTTAAAAGTAACTACAGAAGCTTCTTTAAAGGTAGTGTCTGATCATAGCAGCATTGGAGTCTTCTCATTGGTTAACTGCTGTTTTTATCAAGTGTGGATCATATTTCTTAATGTCAAAGGCGTTTGACTGTGTGAATCATGACAAGTCGTGGCTGACATTGAGAAGAATGGGAATCGCTGGGCACTTGTTTGTGCTCATGCAGAACCTATACCTGTATCAGGAGGCTGTTGTGCGAATGGTGCAGGGGAGCATTGCATGGTTTGGAATTGGGAAGGGAGTGTGTCAGGTTTGTATTCTATCTCCATACCTGTTCAGTCTAGAAGCTGAGCACATTATCCGAGAAGCTGGACTCTGTGAAGAGGAATGTGGAGGGACCCTCATCAATAACCTAACCTGCATTATGCAGATGACACAACCTTACTTGCTGAAAATGAGGAGAACTTGAAGCACTTGTTGCAGAAGATCAAAGAATGCAGCCTTCAATATAGATTGCATCTTAATATCAAGAAAACAAATACGCTTACCACTGGACCAATAGGCATAGTCCTGAAACTGTCAACAGCTTCACCTTGCTTAGATTCACACTTAAGACCGTTGGTACCACTAGTCAGGAAATAAAGAGACTCATTGCCCTGGGAAAATCTGTAGTTAGGGACCTTTCCAAATTATTGAGGACTAGTGATGTCAGTTTGAGGACTAAGATGTGGCAGATTCAGGCCATAGTCTTTCTGACCTGGACAGTGAATAAGGATAATAGAAAAAGAGTTGATGCCTTTAAGCTGCGGTGTTGGAGACGAGTGCTGAACATCCCATGGACAGCCCGGAAAACAAACAGATACGTCTTTGAGATGGTGCAGCCAGAGTGCTGTTTGGAGACAAGAATGATGAAGTTTCACATCACATACTTTGGGCATGTTGCTAGGAGGTGCTAGTCCTTGGAGAAGGAGGACATGATGCTGGGAAGGGTCGAGGGTCAGCGAAGGAGAGGAAAACCCTCAACCAGGTTCACTGACATGCTGACTGCTGCAATGGGCTCTTGTGTGTCAGGAAGTTGTGAGGATGGCACAGGACAGGACTGGGATCAGATCTTTTGTTCATAGGGTCACTGTGAGTCGTACTTGACTTGACAGCACCTAACAACAACATAACAATGGTTTATGGTCATGGAGTGTACATTAAAAATTATATGTAGAGATTGTGGTGTTTGTTATATACCCTTCGGGGGTGTTTATGTTTGTTCTGTCAGTTAACTTGTGTGCACTCTAATTTTAGCATTTATCTTGTCTACTCAAACTTATTGCCGTCGAGACAGAACCAATTCATAACTGATCCTCCAAGCACTTTTAGGAGGCTGTAAATCACACAAGAGATTGTCCATCTTTCTCTCACAGAGCTGGTGGTGAATTTGAACCCGTCACCATTAGGTTAACAGTACAACTTTCCAGGGACTGTGCCACCAGGGCTCCCTGTTTTCTCTGTAGCGCACATCAGCCCAACTCCTGATCCTTTCCGCTTTTAGTTGCTTCTCTTTTGCTGAGTCTGTTTAGTCTTTCTGCCAAGAATTTGGGAGAATATGTGTGTAGATTCTAAAGTTCATCCTCTCTGTGACTGTTCCAGGATTTCCCTCTTTTACAGCTGTTCTGATAGCCCTCCCTAAACTCTGCTCTCTGACATCAGTCCAGTGCAGCTGTAAATATTTCCGTTATCTGAGCCATGTGAAGGCTTGAGGAATGTCCTGAGATGAAAAGCCACAGCTTTGAATTCTCTTTGAGAGTCATAATTCTCTGTAAATGTATTTAGAAGTAACAAAATTTGATTTCTCTGTTTGACACTTGCTACAAAACTAATCTTCACCTTGGTAAGTTTTGGAGTGAGAAGTTTTACTGTAGAAAGAATTGTGTCAAATGGAACTTCTTAAGCTTGACTTGTCCTCAGATCTGTTATATCTATCTGGAGGAATGGGAATGTTTGAACTCCTTACTTGGACTTGACCTTCACCCAATTCCAGGGGATAAGACTCTACAGGTAGCCTCTCAGAGACATCTGTCTTTACTAATATTTTTCACACACCTTTCTCAAGTTGAGTTCCAGTTCTACCCCAGCCTCATCCCCTCGGGGAAAATCAGGCTGGGAGAGATGAGAGATCTTGGGAACATAGCTGTGATCCAAGACCCATACAGGATGAGAACCGTGTCCTGCCTGCTCACTTTGGCCTTGGATTCGGGAGGGGGAATCTTGGATGCATTATGCAAACATGCCTCTTCTTCAGCTGAATAAAGTTTCTGACGCTGTAATTTTTTAGCTGTAGAGAACAACGTGAGACTACTTTTTCCCTTTTTCTTCTGAATACTCTCAGAAAATCGATCTTAACTGTTAACTGGAGTTGGGAAAATGACAATTAGGGGTAAACATGAATGATTCCCTAGCGCAAGTTTGGCCGTTTGCTTGGGAATTACAAGGTTCTAGATCACCAGCTAGTCAGCTTCACTAGGACTCTGTCCACGCTGATGAAATACAATGGTTCATGGAAAGAGCATCTTCACAGCCTGTGGCACCTTTCTCCTTTAAGCTGTACTTTTTCCATTTTTTAAAAAACTTAATGAGTGTTCACTAGGGAGCTCTGTGGGCAAGGCGTTGACTCAGCTCAAAGGCAGGCAGTTCTAATCTACCAGCTGCTCCCATGTGATTTATATCCTCTGAAAACTGTGGGTTGGTTTTGAGTGAACAGCACACGGCTGCCTTCTGTTGGAAAATGAATGGAACATGTTACCCCGACTGTATTTGAGGTTTGGGGGTGATGTTGATCCCTGACAATCCCCAGTGGACTGGCTGCCGTAAAACCTGTACCAGCTCCATTCCACCCACATGTCACAGCATGGTTGCAATGGCATCGCCTCGGACCTCATGCTGAGTCATGGCAGCAAATGCAAAAGTACTCTTGTTGAATTTTACGTGGAGGAAATGTATTTCTCTCATAACTTGTGATTTTGCACATTGTACACCCTGAAGACTTTTGGTGGAGGGGCCTGTTTCAGTTAAACAGTTTGGAATTTGAATGTATGACAATGTGTTGTCAGCAGGCCAGTGCATGACAGATAGGCATTGTCAGAAAAGCAGTTCATAACTTAGAAATTAGATCAGTGGTTAAAATTGTTTTCCTTATCTCTGCTTTTACTAAAATTTTCTTGTTTTTCCACTACTCTTATAATGTAGCTTCATCTCACATACTTTGGGCATGTTGCTAGGAAAGACTATTCCTTGGAGAGGGATTTCCTGCTTGGGAAAGTTGAGGGACTACAGAAGAAACAAAACTCCTCAACCAGGTGGATTGACATAGTGACTACTGCAGTGGGTTCAAGTGTATCAGAGATAGTGACAGTGGCACAGGATAGGAAAGAGTTCAGACTCCCAGGATTGCTACGAGTCGTATTTTACGGCACCTAACAACAGCTATAATGTGATGGTCTCTAGTGGCTCAGTAGTAAGGGGTGGTTCTGTCAACCTGAAGGCATGCAGTTTGAATCCATCAGCTGTTCTGTGGGAGAAGGGCAGTCTTCTTTCATGCAGTTTACTGCCTCTAAACCCACTGGAGGGTCAGGTATGGGTAGGTTACAACTTGGTGCTACGTAACACCAACTACTATAATGTGAATTTTGTGCTTGTTTTTCTTTGTAAACCTGGTGCAGTTTAAGGAATGAGACAGAAGTAGACACTCAATGGAATATTAGACAATAAAAACACCAGTTTGGTTGGGAGTGACAAACATAATGAAAATGTCATGGTTAAGGCCACGCTGGATGATCTCCTGAATATCAGTAACGTTAAAACTCATCAGGAACATGTGGTTTGCATATTTGTCTATGGCTTACTTTTTTTTTCCTTCTAGGTTGCCCCATCCAAGGTCACCCCACTCCCAATATCACCTGGTTCTATGGTGACCAGCCAATAGCCACTGCCACAGGATTGGAATATCGTATCTTGGCAGCAGGACAGATTCTTCAGGTTGCAAATCTTAGTGGTGGGTCTCAAAGAGAATTCCGATGCCTTGCTCAGAACGAGGCGGGAATGCTTGTACAGAAGGCTTCTCTAGTGATCCAAGGTAAGGAACTCTCTTTTGTGCCTTTGGCTGTTGGACTTGTTACTTGACAAAGACTGTCCACCTGAGAATCTAGTACTCTAGTATAACAACATGATTTCTCATCTCCAGTGGTTCCTACAGCATGAAAATTGATGCTTAAGAACTTAATTCTGCTTTTGCAACCCTTCACAGAAACCACTAGGTCCCATCTCAGTAGAATCTGGAAGATCTAGCACCTCTTATAAACAGGCACTTCTGCTTAAAAGGTTTGTTAACAAAGAAACTCCACTAAATGTCAAAGTCAGTGTATCTTTTTTATACTGATTAAACTAGTAAAGATCACACACACTCACATACCCCCAGCTTAAGGAAATGTGAAAGTTCTCAGTTGGTTTGGCTTAAAATGCATCTTGATGAACCTTCTGTGCTCAAGAGAGCCTGCGTTGGTGGAAGCTGACCATTCCAGACTGGCCCTCAGCTGCAGTCATATGTTGAGTGTTTCCAGGCTTCTCTCTTTTCCCAGCAAAAAGTGCATTGTGGAGCCTGTGTGCCCCTGTTTTCACCTTCCAAGAACATAATAAAGTCCATACCACTGCCATAAAGTCAGTTTTGACTCATGGCAGCCTTCCATCAGGTTTCCGAGACTGGCAATCTTCATGAAAGGAGACTGCCCATCTTTCTCCTGGGGAGCAGCTGGAGGGTTCAGACCGCCAAACTTTCAGTTAAACATCCCAACAGTTAACCTACTCAGCCATGAGGGCTCCTTTTTCTAAGAATCTAGGTGGGTCAGAGAGCCCTTGGTGGGGCCTAACTGACTGCACCAAGAAGGAGTTGTAACTACAGATAGTGTGAAGGAGAAAGGCAAGCACTCACCTTTTTATAGAAACTCTGTGAAGCTTTTGAGTTGTCAGTAATATAGCGCACACACACACGTAATATGTAGCACCCATAGGAAGTGGTTTGTGCAGAAGTACTGTATATGTGATACATGCAAGGAAAGGAAATGATTTTACTATTAATTGAGTGACCATTTACATAGCAACCTGGCTTTCCTTCAACATGAACACACAATATACGTCATTCTCTCCACCTCCTCCTTCTGTTTCCTGTTACCGTTTAGTCCTTTCCAAGCTACATCCCTGAACATATGTTGCCCTTTTGTTTTTGTAGCATGTATAGTACTAATAGTGGCATCCACTTCCTAAATAACATGCCCCCGGAAACTCTATGAACTTTGATAAACGTCAATTGTAGAGGGGCTTCAAGCCTTTTGTGTATAGGGTCACGGTGAGTCATGCTCGACTCAAAGGCAATCAGCAACATAATACTAAGAATATGTTCCCTCTGATGTTCTCTGTGTCATAGACCTATCTCTTGTTAGACAGAAAGCTGAATGAAAAGAATAATTTTAAGTCTAGGCTTAGAGGGTGACAAAGGGCATAGTCTCAAGGATTCTCCCAGTCTGTATAGGACCAGTACACCTGGGATGTGTGTGTGTTTGAGTGCGTGTGTGTGAGAGAGAGAGATTGATTTTGAATTTCATTCTATTTCCCTTCCACGCTGTCAAGGACCTTCTATTGTAATCCCTTTCCAAATTGTCAGTACTAGTAGCCAGGTACCATCTAGTACTTCTGCTTCCAAGGTCATGGGGTTTGAAATTCACATGGTTCCTCTGCACTAAAAGGCTTTGTTTTCTTTATTCTTCTTTGCTTTGTATGGGGAGAAATCAGTAGTTGCACCTTGGATGGCCCCTCACAAGCTCTTTAATATCCTAGTCACTACTTATCAAAATAATATGGAGAACATGATCTTTCTAAATAATTGCCATTGATGGCCCCTATAACTATGGTCTTGGGTGTCCAGACCCAGAAATTCATTCCTTCAAGATGTCTGGTTATATTGAAGTTTTCCTAACTTTACCACCTGTTAGCTCTACTATGTACAGAATATTTACATCCTTTACAAATATATATAGAAATACCATCGTTATGTATCATCCAGTCAGTTGCAGCTCAGAGCAGTGCTATAAACATTAGATCTGAACTGTGCCATCCTCACCATCTCTGACATACTTAAGCCAAACATGTATGGTCATAACTGTAGTTTATATATGTCTCCCTGTTAACTTCTCTGTCTACCTGTGTATCCGTTTATGCTTTAAACTTGTTCTTACAAGTACAAAATTGTGTCTGTGTTAGCATTTGTCTTTGTTGTCTGTAATTCCTGTGGACCTCTATGCTTTCTTTTTCTTTTGGTTCTATTGTACTGTCACCCCATTTTTTTATATTTCCCTTCGCTTCACTTGATGTGTCTTTCTTATTTTCCCTCCCTTTGATTCATGGTATTGATCAAAGAATGTTTCTTCCTGTGTGTAAACTTTTCCATAACCTTTCATGTGTTAAATCATTAAATTTTTGTTCTTTTATGATTGACTTATTTTATTCAACACAGCGTCCTTCAGGTCCATCTGCATTATGAAGTATTTCATAGAGCCTTCATTTTTCTTTGATGTTGCATAGTACTCATTGTGTTTGTATCATGGTTTCTTTAACCATTCATCTGTTGAATACTTGAGTTGTTTCCATATCCTTTCTAATATAAATTGTGCTGCTACAGTGAATCTAGATATGCCTATAACTATGCATGTTTGTCTCATTCTTTTAGGATATATACATAGTAGTGGGATTACCAGATAAAGTGGTGGTTTTATTTCCAGCTTTTTAAGGAAGTGCCAGACTGTTTTCCAGTGGCTGCACCATTTCACTGTCTCATCAGCATTTGTTGTTTCCGTTTTATTGAACTTTGCTGTTGTTGCTAGGGCTACAAGAGATTTCATTGTTGTTTTAATTTGCATCCAATAGCTAATTATTATAAGCATTTCTTCATGTGTTTGTTGGGCATCTCAATGTGGTCATTGGTGAAATATCTTTTCATGTGCCCAGCTCATTTCTAAGTTAGATTTTTGGTGTTGAGATGTTGACATTTCATACATTGTGAAGATGATTTCTCACCGTCCTGTCCCCCTCCCCCATTTCTTAAGAATATGTTGGAGGAGCTCTAGTGACATTTTTCATAGAGAACTGCTCTGCTAGCCAAAGGCCACACTGCTCTGGTGGTTTGGATTCATAAGTGGCTCAATGGGAGAAAAACGGGCATTCTCTTCTTGTGTGATCTATGTAGCCTTCAAAGCCCAAGGTCACCTGTGAGTCTGCTCCAACTTTCCAGCAAAGACTTTGACATTACTTAACTAGAGAATGTTGGTAGAGTATGAGTTAGTGTTACATCTTCCTATCCATGAACATAATATATTGATCCATTTATGTAAGTCGCTTGGTTTTTGCAGTAATTGTCATTTTCTTTGTATAAGTCTTTTTTTATCTCCGGTTAGGTTTATTCCTACATGTTTATTGGAACTGATTCTTTGTTGTGTCCTGCCATTTTTCTGAATCTTTCCTTTAGGTCCTGTAGCTTTCTTGCTGAACCATTTGACATTTTCTATTTGTGGGATTATGTCATCTGCAAACAAGAGTAGATTTACTTCTTCATTTTCAATTTGGGTGCCTTTTTGTCTCTAGGAAAGCAAAATTCTAATGCATGTGATCCAAAATGGAGGATTCTATATATTGAAAGATACATAGAGTTTTATGCCAATAGCATAGTACTGCTTTGGAAAGATTTTTTTTTTTTCTGAGCACATAGTTTTCCTTTAAACATCCTCCCTGCCATTTAAGTTTCCAAGCAGGAAAATAAATGTATTTGGCTATCTGCAAGGTTTATACTGTACTATCTTTAAATAAGCACCCAAAATTTACCAGTCCACAATTACTTTTAAAAGCTTTCTTACCAGTGATTCCCAGAGTCCAAAACTATTGGATCTATTATTCAGCCCATTGTCTCACTTAAGTGAGAAGTCTCGGAAATGCTGTTTTTTGTAATGTTTACAAAATCTAATTGAATGTGTGGCTGTAAGTGTAATTGTGAAGTATTTAATAACTCTTTGTAGAAAAATATAGCTACTTTCTGGTGAACCAATAGGAAAAAATCGTTTTATGAAGAATGTACACAGACAGTAAAAGCTACCATTATTTGTATTTTTTCTAGTATTTTTTTCTTTATTAGTTTGCATACAAAATTTGTATACATTGTGTTTCACTCATGTATATTGTATTTTATAAAATTAATCACCACTGATCTATACTCACTATTACTCCCATCCTTACAGGTAACTACTGGAGCTTTCCTAATTCCTTCACCCCTCCCCCTTTGGACTTCTAAACACATCTCACTAGCTATCCTGTTTCTGCAATAATTATTTAATAATAGTATTTCTCCTTATGGTACCAAGTTAGTTCAGTTGGCAGAATGCTCTCCAGCCTCTCCTATGTTAAATAGTGTTTTCAAAATCATTGCTTATGAGTGCTGCATAGTACTCCATTGTGTAAATGTACTACAGTTTCTCAATCCATTCAGTTGCAATTGGACATTTGAGATTTTTCTATTTTCTTGCTGTTGTGAATAACACTGCTATGAACATCAGTGTACAAATCTCCATTTGTGTCTCATTTCTGTTTTCCTTAGGCATATAGTCCTAACAGTGGAAGAGCTAGGTCATATGGAATTTCTATGTTCAGCTTTTTGAGGAAATGTCAAACTGCTTTCCAGAGTCATTGTACCATTTAACAATACTGCTATCTACCATTACAAGTACAGTTTTGCCAATACCATTTGTTGAAGAGGTTGTCATTTCCCCCCATTTGATAGGTTTTGTTTCCTTGTCAAGTACCAGTTGCCCATAGGTAGATGGGTTAATTTCTGGGTTCTTGATTCTGTTTCATTGGTTGATAGGTCTGTCATTGTCCAGTGACATGCTCTTTTGGTTACTGCAGCTGTGTAGTAGTTTTTGCCACTGGACCGATAAGCAGCATCATGATGGATGGAGAGATTATAACTGCCAACAGCTTCATCTTGCTTGGATTCATAATTAACACCCTTGGTCCTAGAAGTCAGTAAGTAAGGAGACACATTGAACTGGGAAAATCTGTAGGGAACCTCTCCAAATTATTGGGGGAGTAAGGATGTCAGTTTGAGGACTAAAGTGCATCTGGTTCAGGCCATAGTCTTTCCTATTACTTGCTGTGCATCTGAGAGCTGACATAAGAGCTAAATAAGGATGGCAAAAGAATTGACACCTTTGAGCTGTAGTGTTGGAGAAGAGCACTGAGCATCCCACGGATGGCCAAGAGAACAAACAGGTATGTCTTGGAGAGGATTCAGTCAAAGTGCTCTTTTGAGGCAAGAATGAGGCTTCACCTCACATACTTTAGGCATGTTTCTTGGAGGGGCTATTCCTTGGAGGAGGACATGATGCTGGGAAGGGTGGAGGGTCAGCAAAGAAGGGGAAGACCCTCACCTGGTGGATTGACTTGATGACAGCCTCAGTGGGCTCTTGTGTGTCAGGGAGTGTGAGAACAGCACAGGACAGAATTGGGTTCATATCTTTTGTTCATAGGATCATGGAGTTGTACTCTACTTGATGGAACCTAACAACATTTTCTTAATTTGTTGAGGCTTGCTTTGTGTCTTTTATAAATTATCAAATATGGAGACTGCACTTGTGAAGAAAATGAACTTTTAGTTGGGTGCAGTTCCCTGAATACATCCATAAAGTCCAGTTGGCTGATTTTATAGTTTAGATCTTTGCATCATAAGTTTCTTTTGAGCTAAACTTTCCTTTGGTGAAAATGGTGTGTTAAAGTCTCCTACCCCTATTTCTATTTCATGGGTTGTTTCCATGTTCTTGCATTGGTGAATAACACTGCTATGAACAAGTCTCCATTTGTGCCTCTGTTCTCATCTTCTCAAGGTATATTCCAAGCAATGGAATAATACAGGATCTTATGGGATTTCTATGCTCAGCTTTTTAAGGAAGCACCAAACTGCCTTCCAGAGTGGTTGTACCATTTTACAGTCCCACCAACAATGTTTAAGAGTTCCCTTCTCACACTTGTTGCTTGCTATCCTATTAAACTTTGCCACTGTTACTGGAGTGAGATGGTATCTCATTGTGGTTTTGATTTGTCTCTCTCTCATTGCCAGAGATTTGGAGCATTTCCTCATGTGTCTGTTGGCCGGTCGAACATCTTCCTCTATGAAAATTCCTTCCATGACTTTTGCCCATTTTGTAATTGGATTATCAGTCTTCTTTTTCTTGTGGAGGCCCAGGAGTATTCTGTAAACGTTCATTATGAGACTCTTGTCTGAGATGGTCTTACCAAATGTTTTTTTCCCAGCTGGTTGGTTCTCTTTTCACCCTGTTGGGAAAAGTTTTTGATGCACACATGGATTTACTCTTTAGAAGGTACCATGCATCAATTTTATCCTCTTCAGATCAGGCTAGCTTTTGTCACTGCTATTTTGCTGTTTCTTTTTCTGTTTCCGTGTGGAGAACTCCCTTAGAATTTCTTATAGAGTTGTCTTGTTTTCAAAAACTCCCAAGTTCCTGCTTTTCTGTAAATGGCTTAATTTCTCCTTCGTATTTGTTGGTCACAGAATCTTCGTCTGGCAGTTGTTTTCTTTCAACATTCTGAAGAGTCACGACTATTTATTAATTGCTTATGTGTCAAGCACTGGGCTGGGCCCTTTAATTTTACTGTATTCAGTCATGCCAATACCTTGATGAGGTAAGGGTAATTCTACTCATTTTATGGACGAGCCAACTGAAGCGCCTCACGTAACCTGCCCAAACAGCTTAGTAATTGGGCTCACTTATTTCAGTTCCTCAGCTCACCCCCCTTCACAGCCCTCTGCCTACCTGCTTCGCAACTCACTCAGCCAAAATACGAAGTGTGGACAGTGATCCTCCTTTCCCCCCTCTTGTGATAGAGTATTGGTGGTCCGTGGACAGACTGGGGACCTGCTCAGCCTCTTGTGGTAACAGGGGCATCCAGCAGCCCCGGCTGCGATGTCTCCTGAACAGCACAGAAGTCAGCCCTGCTCACTGCGCGGGAAAGGTGCGCCCTGCTGTCCAGCCCGTCGCCTGCAACCGGAGAGACTGCCCTTCTCGGTGAGTGCCGGCCAGCGCCTCCCGCCCTGCACGGGCCCTGAATCCAGCTGAGGTGGTTCGTTATGTCCCGTCAAGTTGGGACTGACTCATAACTGACTCGCCAGTGGGTTTTTCTGAAAAATGTAAAGGGCATGAGAGGAGGTGGCCCATCTTTTTCCCTCACAGCAGCTGGTAGATTCAAACAGCCCACCTTTGGGTTGGCAGCACAACTCCTTACCCACTCGGTGATGCCCAGTTCTTAACGTGCACTATGTAGAGAAAGGGGTGAAATAAGGGTGAGGGGGCCTCTAGTCCAAGCAGCTTTCCAGTGGGCACAGATTTGTCCACCATGTCAAAAGTATCCCTCACAAGAGATCTCCTCTCATGGCTTTATTCCCTCACCACTGGCTTTCGAAGGGTGTACACAGGCACAAGAGCATCCCAGGCCGGCAGGGGAGAGCTTGCACCCTGAAGTAGTAAATGAGTTTTCGGTTGCAGTGTTGAGGGAATAAAGATGACTGATCACATCCAACTTCAATGCTGCTGCTGCTCAACAATACTCCAGTTAAATTGGGGGAAATCTCACTTTTTCCTACAGAGTCTCGCATGCAGCCAACATTTGAATGTCTCTGCATGCTCGAGTTCCTTCTACTTAGAATTCTCATTCCCTTCATTGGGGTCTCTTGTACACCCCGGCCTGTTGTATCTCCTTCATGTGTACATAAGCTGTGAGCACCTACCCCAGTCTGCTGTAGAACTAAAGGGATAATGGATGGGCTTGGAGTTTGCACCAGCATGGTGCCAACTGAGCCTGCTGGGCCTTGGCTCAGCCCTGAGGTCCCAGGTTACTACTTACCCACATGACGTTCCTGCTACTCCTTAAGCAACCACTTTGTCCTTTGCCAGCTGAGTCATAAGGAGCAGCTCAGACTGGGAGAGACTCAATGAAATATGAAACACACTCATTAATATCGGCAGTTTGACTTGCTGACGGGAAGGTTTCCACGGGCATGATTAATGTCCTTTTATACCCTCCATGAACTGTAACATAGCCCCTGCCTCTCCCCTCTCAAATCCCCTGCCCCCAAAAGAAATGCTGAAATGTATATTTGGATGTAAAAGTTGATTGAAATGCAGGTCTGACATTCACCAGGGATCTAAGAGGTTGGAAGCCTGCCCTTGCCACGCTGTATGAAATGAAGAAGCCATCTCTGGCGTGCCAGGAACGTTGTGATTTCATTTGGGATGGTCAGAGTCAATCAGCTTCATTTACTTCTCTAAATGAAATCATAATTGATCTTTCTGCTTGCGTTTCCGTGCCCCCAGGAGTCCTCACACACCTCAAGCCTGCTTCCTGAGTGGCTTTGCTCCTGTGGGTTGGAACTCCTCGAGCACGCATCTCTCTCCAGGGCAAGTGGAGCAGGGAGGTTGCCATGAAACTAAATAAGTCACAGATTCAGGAGGAATCTGCTCCCCCTTCCTTGGTACATGCCTCCCCAAAAACCAGATGTGGCGTCACTGGCCTAGAAGGTGGCCACCTTTGACTGCCTTTCCTGCCAGGTGTTTGGGGCATGTCCACATCCTCCTTGGCACACTTTTCTTTGCAACTCCTTGCCCTGGTCCAAGGCTGCCTGAGTGCGAAAAGCCCATTGCCACAGTCTTGGTTAGTTTTCTGAGAACATAAATTGTAGGTGGGACGAAACATTCTAAGAACTCTTTCCACCACGCATACAGCCCTCTACTAGACCTATGACTCAGAAGGGTGGAATGGCCTCCAGAATGCAACTCTGTGTTTCTGAAGGATAATCAGTGCCAAATGAGATAGGAGTCAAGGTCAGGGAAAAGGTAGTGAGTGCTCTCAGATAAAACTTGACCTCAGTGAAACTTGGAATGCCTTGTCTATGTCACAGAGGTTTGTGTCTGAATTTACTAGGAAAACGTTCCTTCTCTACCACAAGGTGGATACCTGAAGGACCTTCCACAGCCCAGCACAGCGTAACTAGCTGAAGGCTGTGTCTATTACATAGTCTGTCTACACAGTCCCACGACTATCGTTCAGGCGCAGCCCCAAGCTTCAGACTACACTTTCAAGAATCATCTCTCCTGGTCAGTTTTCCAGGTTTTAACTTCTACTACTCATACAGGTTTTGGTATCTTTTTTTGTTTTTCTTTTCAACATAAGACTACCATTCTTCCTTCTGAGATGGTGATCTCATATTTACCTATGTTTTACTGATTGGAAAAAGGCATTCAGCTGGGGAGATTGGAGCAAATGATGGCATTTCAGAACACTGTACAAGTGTTGATACAGAACCAAAGGACGCTTCATGGCTTAAAATCAAGAAAGTACACTTAGGGTCTTCTCTAAAATTGTGCGTCATAAATCTGAGCAGCAGAACTACATGAAGAATGCAACATCAGGATTGGCGAAAGCCATAAACAATCTGATATGCATGTAATATGTAACTTTACTTGCTGAAAGTGAAGCCAACTTGAATCACTTACTGAGATCAAAGGCTGCATCCTTACATGTCAACAGAAAGAAAACAAGAACCCTCATTGTACCTGTAAGTATTATCATAGTAAATGTATTGAAGACATTTCCTTTTGCTTGAATCTGTACTCAACACCTATGGAACTGAAATCAAGATATCAAACAAGTCACTGCATTGAATAAATCAGCAAAGATCTCGATCTGTAAAGTGTTAAAAATTAAAGGAGTCACTTTGAGGAGTAAAGTACATCTTATCCAAGCCGTGTTCTTTCCGGTCACCTTATATGTTGAATTTGGGAGACCAAAGAATTGATGTCATTGAATTATGGGGTGGGCAAAGAATACTCAATATACCACGGATTGAAGAGAACCACGCAAGTCTGTCTTAAGGAGGAGGACAATCCGAATTCCCCTTAGAGGCACGCATGACAAATCTTCATCCCACGTACTTTGGGCATCAGTTATTGGGAGCCGAAACCTAGACAAAAGTATCATGCGTGGAAAAGTGACAGAAAGGAATGCCCTCTGAGATGGTCTCACCTGGGGACTGCAAAAACAAAGCCAAGCACGGCAGCTGTGAGGATGTCACAGGAGTCGGCAGGATTTTGGACATAAAGTCACTATGAAGAACAATAAATTGGTTTCCTGAGATTAACAAATTACTGCATATATAGTAGCATAAAACAATAGAATAAAGATTGCAGAAGAATTATCGATGCCTTTGAGCTGTGATGTTGGAGAAGAGCACCTAAAATCCCATGGATTCCCAAAAGAACAAATACTTGTATCTTAGAGAAGGTGCACCCAGAGTGCTCTTTGGAGGCAAAGATGATGAGGCTTTACCTCACATACTTCAGGCATGTTGCTGTATTCCTTGGAGAGGGACATGATGCTCAGAAAGATAGAAGACAGGCAAAGGAGAGGAAGACCCTTGACCAGGTGGATTGACCCAGTGACTGCTGCAGTGGGCTCCAGGGTGTCAGGAAGTGTGGATGGCACAGGATAGGACAGAATTTACAGGGCTTCTCTGGGTCGAACTCGAGGGCACCTAACAACAACAACAAAAGAAAGTTATTCTCTTACGGTTCTCAAAGTTTAGAATTCCAAAATGAGGTTATCTTCAGGGCCCCACACCCTCTGAGAGCTCCAGGAAGAATCTACTCCTTCCTTCCAGCTTCTGGTGGCTGCTGGTATTCCTCCACTTAAGTGGTCACTTGTCTCCTATCAATGTTACCTCTGCCTTTCTCTTTAAAGAACACTTCTGATGGCATTTAGGGCCCCCTGCATAATTCTGAATAACCTGCAATTATCAGGATACCTAATGCATTTGCAAAGACTCTTTTCCAAATAGGCAACTGTTCACAATTTCCAAGATTTTAACAGGTATCTCTTTTGGAGAATCATGTCCTCCAAATTAGTAGCTGTAGGATAAGAAGGAGATTTGGTGCGTGCTTTCTCTCTCCTACTCTGGGAGTACTTGGCATCCTATCTGTCTCCAAGACCTGGATCTTCTACCTTTCCCCAGATGGATGGTGACCTCTTGGTCCGCCTGTTCCCGGAGCTGTGGGGGAGGAGTCCAGACCCGCCGGGTGACCTGTCAGAAGCTGAAAGCATCTGGGATTTCCATTCCTGTACCCAACGACATATGCATCCAGCTTGCCAAACGGCCTGTGGACACACAAGCGTGTAACCAACAGCTCTGCGTGGAGTGGGCCTTCTCCAGCTGGGGCCAGGTAAGAGGCCAGAGAGGTTTGGTTTAAAAGATCAATCTAAAGTTGCAGACCCTGTCATAGCAGAAGATAAAGTGTACCATTGCCATTTCTCCCTTCCTTCTGTGTTGACTAGCCTCTTCTCTTGTCTGTCACCTAACCCAATCCAGAGTCAGAATCTCTGGAACTTCTTTCCTGATACAATACACCTTCCTTGCCCATTATGCCTTCCTTACATGATTAGTCTCCACCCTGAGACCCTCCCAGATCGTCATCAGCCGCCCAGAGATTCCCCCTTTACACTTATTTTCCGTGGGGCCGTCTCTCTAGTGATGTTGGAGCTGATGACTTAGAGTTCTGATGAGACCCACCTGTGGAGAGCGCTGATGTTCTAGGCAAGTGGTTCTCAGTCAGTTTGTACCTATAGAATCAATGAAGAAACATTTTTTTTTAAAAAAAAAACAAACCCAACATTGTCCAGGCTTACCTCTGCAAGATTCAGAATGACTCACTCTGGGGTGGGAGCCAAGCTGGGTAATTTTCAGAAGCTCCCCAGGTGATTGAGCTATGCATCCAGGGGTGGAACTGTGGTCTTGATCCAAGAAAAGGGGAAGCCTGGTTGGATCCTTCAGAATCACCAGCTTCTTTCTTAGCCAGATGTTAGCAGAGGGGAGGGCCAGGTAAGCTCAACAGATCGCCGAAACAGGCTCCTCTGACGTCCGGAGCCAAGGATGAGGCATCTTCCAGATAAAGTAGATAAATCATGAGATTTCTTTCCCTGTGGAGAGGAAATTTTACATTTAGATCTTAGTTAAAAGGGAGATGAACACAAACTGAAGAGTCTTTATGCGGACAAGCAAACCTGAGCAGTAAGAGGCATCAGACCCCTACAGAGTGGTCCAGGGAGGTGGAGGTTTCTGGGGGGAACCCCGTGATTGTTCCCTCATTTCTGGGCCAGATGGGACTGAGAAATCTATTAGAAGGTCCAATTATTAAAGGACTAGGTTTTCCCCCCCAGGGTAGACAAGACCTCTGTTGAGACAATAATTCTCCTTGCCATCAAGTTGAGACCCATTCATAGCTAACTCTGCAGTTGGTTTTCAGAGGTGGCAGTCACATGGGAGGAGACTCCCTGTCGCTCTGCCTTGGAGCACCTGGTGGATTCAGAGTGACTGCCCTTGGATTGGCAGCACTGCTTGCCCCCTGAGTTCCCTTGGACAAAGAATAATTGCTGGTTTTGTCTGGCCCTTCGCCATGTTAGATTACCAGCCACACTCGGTGCAGACGTGCTGATTTCCTGCATCTCCTCTGCTTCCTCCCAGGAACTCTTGTGGCAGAGCCTCCTGGGCCTGTCAGCGCTGCTGCTCACACAGCTCACAGGCAGGAGCTGGCTCCAGATGCTTATAGAACTTTTCTGATTGGCTAAAAGCCATTACCTTTAAATGTGCCCCGAACACCCCAAAACGTCAGTGATGCTTTAAATTTTGGGGGTAACTCTGTGAACCACGGTGACTGGATATTTGGGAGCAGTTACCACCTCAGAATTTGTTGGAAGTAGCTGTCTGCAGATGCATGCGTCCCCCTTTATTCCTAGTTGTGGTCTTTGGAAAACAGTAATGTCTGCACACTGTGTCCATCTGTAGTGAAGATCAAATATAACGCGGAAGGAAAGTAGCCACATAGTTTACCTGTAACTCATGGGGCATTCATGTCCCAGGTGAGGCTAGCGATAGTATTCAGTGCTGGCCAGTCAGCACAGCCAGCCCTTTGCTCCCTTCTGGCGCCTCTGCCAAACCCCCGCCCCTTATTTCCAGTGACATAATGTATGTGCTTCCTAATCAAAGAGGCATGGACTCCCCGTGCTCCAGTGCGTGGGGAGTATCATCTTTCTTTTACCTGGAGAAGCCCTCTTCTGATCGCTCTTGTTCAGCCTAAGGCAGTGCTGCTTCCAGGCTCTCCGGACTATCGGCAGTTTGTGAAATTATGATTGGTAACAGATCTGGTTACACCTGGGAGCTGTTTTTGCATTGTGTCATTAAGGTCACTCAAGGGGACATACGGCACACATCGTTCTCTGTCCGTTCCTTCCTGTGAATCCCACTCCCTTTTCTTAACTTTCTAAGCTATTATGAAGGATCCCTGGTGGCACTGTAGCTTAAGCATTGGGTTGCTTACTGAAAGGTCAGCAGTTCAAACTCACCAGCCCGTCCATGGGAGAAGGATAAGGCATTCTCCTCCAGTCAAGAGACCACTGGCAGATCGGCTCTGTCTTAAGTCATGTCCCGAACACCCCACTCTTGTGAGGTTGGAGGTGGTGAGTTTCTAACAAGAACATTCTTTTGTTGGTGGTCATCTTCAGCATTGGTACGTTTTCGTTCATTGTTACAGCTACTGTGTAGTGCTCTCCAGCCCAGGAGAGTCATCTTGTAGCACTGTTAGACCGTGTTATCTTGTGTTCCCTTACATTCTCCACCAGCTGTTTGCAAAATTCCACCACCATCATACGGTGGCATCACTTCCAGTAATGTGCGTGCCATCCTCTGTCTGCCCACCTCCAGCAAGTCTCTGAAAACCAGTCTGATGTTGGTACAGGTAGAACTAGGACTACTTTCCCAGCTGCACTGACTTCAGCTGAGCTCAGCTTCCGTCTTTTAACCCCACATCCTCTCATGGGCACCTTTCCTGGGTGTGACAGAATGAAGGCAGCAGCAGCTGCCAGCAAGTTTGCCAAAGTAGGTGAGAAGGTAGAAACAGAATTGTGTCTGCAAAGTGGGTTCCTTGTTGCAGAGGCCCTTGCATGTATATTTCCGCAGAACACTGCATTGGTGGGAGGAGGGTACCTCAAAAGGTTAAGCAGGAGTCGTCTGACCCAGAGTCACTCTTCAGAGTATTCTGCCTGGTAATTGAATTTGGAAGGAGCAAGACTTCAGAAAGAGAAAATCTAATCCAGGTGAGAGTGTCCTGGTCAGAATGAGGCAGCAGGAGGAGGATGTGGGCCATGCATAGCCTTTGTCTGGGGACAAGAGGGCAAGGATGTGTGAGCTGAGGTCCTAGAAGGAAACCCCGCCCTCGGATCCTAGGTCCCATGCAGCTGGACATGTGACCTCACCCAAGGAGGCTTCAGGAGAAGTTGTGGACTTGAGCGCCTGACTTAGCTGACATCTGTATTTCTCTTTTCTTCCAGTGCAATGGGCCGTGCATCGGGCCTCGCCTCGCTGTACAGCACAGGCAGGTCTTCTGCCAGACACGCGACGGTGTCACCTTAGCATCAGAGCAGTGCAGCGCCCTGCCCAGGTAAAAGAAAGCCTTCAACTGTCCCTCCCAGCCCCTGTGTCAATAGAGTACAAAAAGGGGGATCCTTGTAGCTCCTCCATTCGCCCCAGGCCACTGGCCACCTCTGAAGTAGATGGCTCAATAGGGGCCCTGTCCTGGCTGAATGAGTCCCACTGAATTCTGGGAGACTGAAGGAGGCAGGCTAACACAGAAACCTGCATCAACCCCTTACTCTTGTTGACCTCCCACAAAACGTTAACCTAAGGTGAGCTCTGGGCGTCACTCTGTCATTCCTGTCCAGCCTCCCCTCTGGGTACACCTTACTGTCGGAAACAACAAGACTGTATGGAGATGAGTGGGGGGACCCTGGTCACATGACGGTTGCCCTGCATTACGGGATCAGAACCCGGGTCTTCTAGCACCAGAAGTGCCCCAGCATCATTTCCACGCCTGCCCCTTCCCTAGTCCAAGCCCCACCAAGACTGACTTCCCCTGCCCCCCTCCTCCTCCTGCAGGCCCGTGAGCACCCAGAACTGCTGGTCGGAGGCCTGTAGCGTCCACTGGAGGGTCAGCCTCTGGACCCTGTGCACAGCGACCTGCGGCAACTATGGCTTCCAGTCACGGCGGGTGGAGTGTGTGCACGTCCGCACCAACAAGGCAGTGCCTGAGCACCTGTGCTCCTGGGGGCCCCGGCCCGCCAACTGGCAGCGCTGCAACATTACCCCCTGTGAAAACAGTACGTTCCAATCCCAGAGAACTTTCTGCAAATACCCTGCAGGGCACCGGGTGCAGAGGGCAGCCCCTGGGACCAAGCGTGAGCATAGGGCACTCAATCAGGGTCCCCAGAGATTGTGAGCTGGGCCAGAAAGGAGCATTTTCAGAGAAGTGTGTGCAAACAGACGTGGGTACATACGTGTCCAGGCCATAAAGCTAGCGGGTATTCCCCAAAGGCTTCTTCGGCCTCATCTGGCCGGGGTGGACTCAGCCTTCCTCTCACCCGTAGTCCATGTGGCCGGTGCCCAGAGGGATGACTGAATGATGCCCCTCAGGACCAACGAGAAAGTGCACAACACAGAAGAAGCCCCCAGAGTGGCCTCTGCTCAGCTGGCCTGCTCACCATTGCTCTGCTGCTCACCCAGCTGAGACCACTGGCCACCGCCCTCCTTCCCACAGGCATCTGCGGGGACTGTGCAGGAGTCCACACACCTGGGACTGGAGAACCTCCTCAGTCCCTCTCCGTCAACTCTGGATCCTAACAAGCCCAGCACTGCCTTTTGTGTCCTAGCTGTGTGGGGATTTGACTTTTTTTTTTTTTTTTATTACTCTGGACCCTAAACACAAACTGGAGATGCTTCCCTAGAAGAAGGAAGGCCAGGTGTGAATCAGAGAGCAGGAAGTTGAATACAGCGGTACAATGCCCCCAAGAGAGGCCTCACTGAGCAAGCTTCCCAGGGCCAAACCGATGCCCTGTAGGCAAACCAGCCCACCTGTGTATGTCCTCGGAGCTGGACCAGTGTTGAGTGAAAGTCACTCAGTTACCATGGAAATCACAGATTCCGTCTAGTCTGTGCCAGTCCTCACCCAGAGTTCCAGGGTGCTCTAGGAAGCTAAAGGTGTAGAGACATATAGGTGGACAACACAGGAAGAGAGGCAGGCTTCCAGCCCCATCCAAGCAGGGCCTCACTTGCACATTACCTGAAAATGGAGCCGTGGGAAGAGTTGGCCTTGCCTGAGTGGTCTGGAGGCCCACGGAGAGGGAGCGGCAGACGCCACCTGGGAGCAGGAGGAGCCGTTAGGAAAGCAGTGACCGCCCTCAGATGCAGGCCTGCGGGCAGAGACCCCGCTCTGCCTGCCCGGCTGGTGGCGGCAGCAGCGGCCACATTCAGCAGCCCTGTTTCACGCCTCCTTTCTGTCCCCTTTCCCAGTGGAGTGCAGAGACACCACCAGGTACTGCGAGAAGGTGAAGCAGCTGAAGCTCTGCCGGCTCAGCCCGTTCCAGTCGCGCTGCTGTGGAACTTGTGGCAAAGCGTGAAGAGAGGGCACGGGCAGCACGCTCCCCTGGCCACACAGGACTCATGCACGGCCCTCGGACAGAACTTAAGCTTGCTTCTAATTTATTTCTCCCTCCCCACCATCTACCAGAAATCCCCCTGGCCCCCCAGCATCAGGATTTCTCTCAGCTGAAGGACAGGGTGTTGGGAAGGACGGAGATCTAGGGAGGCTGCAGAGCAGATAAGAGACACTTCCTCCCAACTTGGGTCTCGGTCCCAGAGGAGCCAGGGCGTATAGTGAAGTCAGGTGAGAAAGGGGCACCTCGGGATGTGAGGTGCTGGTTCAAACTCTGGATGACCTTTCTCCCAAAGACTCCCTGTTCATGCCTGATGGAATATGAGAGCTTGGGGCACCAGCTTACTCCACTCTTAAGTGGGGACACAGAGAGGAGAACCCAAGATGTGCTGAGGCCATGCTGGAGAAGGGCAGTCCCTACAGGCCTGCAGTTCCCCACAAGGCAGAGAGGGGAGTGGCCAGGAGAGGACGAGAAACACAAAGCGGAGGGGAGAGCAACAGCTCTGCAGAGGACGGAGGGGAGAATCTCACCCCCACACACTGATAGGACATCCTGCCCCTGCAGAAAAGACAGGGCGGCTCAGGCCTGTGGGACCCCAGCCCTTGCTGTGGATACGGCCTTCACTGCTCTGGTTGAACCCAGAGGCTGGGGCTGGGGTTCATCTGTCAAAAGTCAATTTACCAGAGATCCTCCATTGGTTGTAGCCACTGTTTTGTTCCAGGGTAGGAGGGGGCTGGTGCATGCTCCCACCACCGCATTAACGCTGCCCCTGACCCAGTACTGCCACGCACGTCCCAACACATATGGACCTCTGTGACACCAAAGACCAGCTACCTGCGAGACAGGCCTCCGAGGCTTTCAACTCACCCCTCGCAGGCAACGAGTTTCTATAAACTACAGTAATTGTTATGCTTTAGACTCTCAGAGGAGAGTCTGCAGGCAGAGATGCGTACATGTGACAGCAGTGACGTGACAGTGGCGCAGTGGCTGAACTGTCAGTTGAAGACTATTTGGAACATTGCTTGCTCAGCAGAGCGGCTTTGTCATTCCTGGGAAGTGACCACAGGTTAGTAGCTAGGGAAGGATCATCATTCAGCCCTCACCTAACCACCCCTCACAGACACACTCGTGGAACTCCCTCATCCAAGACACCCCTGCCATCGAGGCAGCCCACGCCAGCCTGCACTGGCTTCTAAGTGAAAGACGGCAGTAAGCCCCCGGCGTCCTGGAGTGAGCCAGCGAGGGTCTCTCCTCCACACAAAGGGGCTCGAAGATATGTTACTAAAAAAATTAGGGTAACGTCTATTTAAGATAAGAGAATTTTTTATATCTGTATATCTTTTGTGAATATTTATTAGGAAATCTTGTATAAAAAAGTGCAATATTAATAATTGTACATTGTCATCCAGAATAAAAATATTTGGGGGACTTTTTCTTAACTTCCTGCCATTGTGTTCCTGTAACCTAAGTGGTAACTATTCTCCTTTTCCAGTTTTCTTAAAATAGAACCTGGTGTTTAACTTTGGATCCATTCACTGTGTAGAGCATTGAAAATACTAACGTGACATGATGGGACAAAGGGTACATCATTGTGTCACTGTAGTTACACATGGAATTAGGATGGCAGGTTCCATGCTCTTACTAACGTGGTGGATTTCCTTCTAGTGCAGTAGCTGTTGAAAGCCAGTGGACAGTATTTACATTTCCCTGCTAGGAGGCTACGCTGTGTGCTGGATTGTAGCAGCTGGATATGGATTGCAAAGCAAGCTGGAGAGCCTGGGCTTGGGGTGCAAAGCCGTGTGCTCTTTGCATGGAATGAATGTACATTTACTGTTTGTCCTGTGAATCGTGACTCAGCAGCACCACAAGATTAGTCGGGTTGCTGATTAATGTGGAAGGAGGCACTTCCTCCTCTAAAACACAGACCTGTATTTATATATATATATTGTACAGATAATACAGCTTATTTATTTAAATCTTGCTGTCTGACTCTCTGTTAACTTCCACCTTCCCATCTTGTTTGATGATGACAAAAATTACCAATCAGTTGGTAGAAACAGAACTTGAGCTGTCTGGCCTTCATGAAAGCCTGTGCTCTTCTTCTGGTGCCATCTCCTGTCTCTGTGCCAGCGCCCACCTTGGCACAAGTACTGTCCTCCTCACTGCTTTAAGGTCTACAGCAGATGACAATGGGACACTTTACTAGTAAGTTCCCAGGCTGTTCAGGACTCCTAGCTGCTACACTGTCAAGCGTGTACAAACCCAGACATACACGTGATGCTCTTCAGAAACTGGACTGTAGGCCAGTCTCACCGGGATTGGCGGAACCGAGCAGCAACCTGAAAGCCATGCCGGGGGGGGCCTGCTTTCCAACAACCCGCCCCAGCGCCAGACGCCCATAGAGCACTGTGCGCTCATCAGAGAGCGCTTCCCGAAAGTCTAAATATTTCCTAGGAAGTTTTACGTTTTGCTTTAAGAAAAAAGCCCCACCAGATGCTCTGCTGGAGAAGGAGGAACAATCAATCTCCTCCTGTATCAGTCAGATCTGATTTGACAGTACACACACAAATAATGAAATAAAATAAATTTAAAATAAAAGAAAAAAGCCAACACTAGAACTATAAATAACATTCCAGCAGCCATGTCCCACAGAGGCCCCCCAGGCAGGAGAGTTGGAGAAAATGGCAAAAGAACCAGGCAAGTTCAGATAGTGGAGAGGTAAAACATAAAGGATTTTTCCAGCCAACATGACACAATTAGTAGGAATAAAGAGATGCCTACCAGAATGTCGCCAGCCACAGCATGCACATGCAGACTCTTGACCACAGGTCAGCCCAGTCCTGGAGGTGTAGCTCCTTGTCCTCCAGCCTGGCCTCAGCTGGGTCAGAGTTGGAGAAAATGAGCCTCAGCGATCCCAGATGATCAAGAGCCATGGGGACTCTGGCCTCAGCTTCCTCATCTTGAAAAGGCACAGAGCTCAGAGCTGTAAGCGTGTGTGTGAATTCATGTCAGTGTGTGCGAAGCACTCACTGAAGGTTAGCCACTTTAATCCTCCACATCGAAACTGCCGTGTTACCAACTCTGCTAATAACGGCACTCTGAAAACCTCTTCCAGTATCTCCAATTTTGACTGAGACAAATCATCTCTTTGATGCTAAATACTCTTATTGTTATGTGCCGTCGAGTCACTTGCGACTCATAGAGACTCTATGTACAACAGCCCTAAACTCTGCTGTCTTGTGCCAGTCACACTGTCTCTGACACTCCCATCCCGATTACCCCAGTCACTGAATCAATCCACCTCATAGAGGGCCTTCCCATCCTGCGCTGTCCCTCCACCCTCCCAAGCATGATGTCCCTCTCCAAGGACCAATCTCTCCTCACAACATGTCCAAAGTATGTTAGATGGAGCCTCAGAATCCTTGCCTCCAAGGAGCCACCCAGTTTAACCCTTTCCAGGACAAATCTGTTTGTTTTCCTTGCAGTATATGGTACTCTCAGTACTCTTCTCCAGCACCACAGCTCAAAGGCTGAAATTCTTCTGTCCTTCTTGGTCATTGTCCAATTCTGATGCATAACAAGTGATTGCAAAGACCATGGCCTGTATCAGATGCACCTTAGTCTCCAGAGAGACACCATTGCTCTTCAGTACTTTGGAGAGGTCCCTAACAGCAGACTTTCCCATGGCAATGCACCTTTTAATTTCCTGGCTACTGGTGCCTAGAGTGTTGACTGTGGAGCCAAGCAAACTAAAGCTGTGTACAATCTCAATCTCTTCACCATCCATCCTGATGCTGCCAATTGGCCCAGTGGTGAGAATCTTTGTCTTCTTAACATTGAGCCTCAATCCATATTGGAGGCTACAGTCCTTGACCCTCTGCAGCAGGTGCTTCAGGTCCTCCTCAGTTTCAGAAAGCAGGGTTGTGTCATCTGCATAATGGAGATTGTTGATAGATCATTCACCAATCTTGACCCCACATTTCTCCTCATAGAGCCCAGCCTCCCAGATGATCTGTTCTGCATACAGATTTGAAAGGTATGGAGATAGGACGCATCCCTGGCGTACGCCCTTCCCAATTTTGAAACATGCAGTGTTCCCTTGCTCTGTTCTGATGACTGCCTCCTGGCCCAAGTATAGGTTTTGCATTAGAACGATCAAATGTTCTGGGATTCCCATTCTCAGTCAGCCATAGTTTGTTATGATCCACACAGTCAAATGCCTTTGCATAGTCAATGAAACAGATATACATTCCCCTGGTATGCCCTGCTTTCAGCTAAGATCCATCTAACATCAGTTACAATATCCCTAGTACCACGACCCCTTCTAAACCCAGCCTGGACCTCTGGCAGTTCTCTGCTGATGTGCTGTTCCAGAAATACTCTCTAGCATAGTGTAAACACAGCAGCTATTAGCCAAATTCTGTGGAGAGGAAATAGATCAATCCATAAAACCAACTCAAAACGCTCACCAAAACATTGGCAATCATCAAGAAACACTTCATTGGACAAATGCAGTCATTCCAACCACACACATTTTCAGTCTGGAATACACAGATAACCACCACTACCTTTGATTTACTAGAATGGTTTATTACACACCTATAGTTTATCGAGTCAGACTATAGGTTTCCAGTGGAGCAGATGGTAGATTTGAACCACATACCTTTGCATTGGCAGCACAATTCCTTAGCACTAAGCCACTAGAGCTCTATACGCAGAAATATGTGGTCACGAAACAGACATACAAATGATGTCAGAAGCACATCTTCCTGAGTGGTAGTTTCTCTTCAACAGCAATCTCATCTCCTGGTTCTGCAAATCAACATAAAGGAGATAATCCAAAGTTTAATAATAATAGTTTTCGAATAAAGCTGATCTGATCTCATAATCTATCTATAGGGCTTCAAAATACACAATGCCATTTGCAAAGAATAAAGGAGTAAGTGCTACAAAGAAGGCTGGAG